ATTGAGTCACAGTAAGTCATAATTGAGAGATTGAATTATAAATAAATTAAAAATTGAGAGTTTAAAAAATTAATTAATTAATTTATTTTTAAAAAGTATGCTGCACACATTGATTGTAGCTATCAAGACACAAACAACCAAGGGGGAAAATTAATACGACAAGAACGGAAAACCATAAATGTTTTTATACAACTATATACATATCTTACTCCCTCCATCTCAAATTATAGAATATTTTAAAAAATTTTTTTCATTTTAAAATATAAAATATTTTAAATAGATTAATGTCTCATTAAATATACTGATTTCAATATCATTTTTTCTCTCTCTATGGTTAACTTTTATCTTTTCTCTTTTTAATATATGAAATGATAGATATTTTTAAAAGTTTATACTTTTATTTTAAAAAAATAAAATTATTAAATATATTTAATAAAATTTATTGATATGTGTGATTTTATTTAAAAATATTTTTAAATTTAGGATTGGGGGAATATAATAAAACGAAATCGCAGAATGCACTCGAAGCTAGGTGGTTACTATGTGGGCTTCTTCTCCATGAGTTACACTTCTGAGTTCAGCCCAATCAACTGTTCCAAGCGTGCGTGGCATCCACTTAACACTGCAGTAAGCCACGTCATTAGTAAAGCTGACTAATCATCGTCGCAACTGGACAGGCTATACTTGAATCCATGTCACACAAGAGGATACGCTTCAAACATATCAAAACTTGTAGAGGGCATGTGAAAATCAGTTGATGCGGCCCCATGCATTCTGTATGGAGTTTTAAAAATTATGAATCACGCAATATTAAATTTAATAATCCATGTTATTCTTTGTTTGTTGAATATGTCGGGGCCAAACTTGCATTGTCACATGTTAAAATTAAATTTGAATCTAAAATTATGATTTAAAAAAAAAAATCCAAACACCCATTTAGCCACCTATGATTACTTGCGCGTTCAGTGTTGGGAAGTAATGCATCTGTATTGAGTGTTGACCAACACAAACATGACATTGTTATGTCGAAAATAAAACCAAAACATTAATGCCAAGAATAAGACAAATTGACAGTTTATAATTAAACGCAGCCTATGTTCAATTAAAGTCAAGTGAAGTTTAGAATATCATATACAATCACTGATATTTAATTTAAATTTAAAATAAACTATAAAATCTACAACAAATTATATTGTTTGTATTGACATATGCCCTCATTTTTTATTTGTAAGAGAAACTATCATTTTTTTTATTTTTATATAAGTAAAATCGCCTGTTTCAATAAACATTTGTTATACATTTTTTGAATCACCCCTCATAATTTACATTAACAAGAAATAATTAATATATACTTATATTGATTAACATAGGGCATTTTAGTTTACTTTTTTTATTTTTAAACATAATTATTATGATTAACTAACTTTTTTAAATTATATAATATAATTATATATATATATATATATATATATAAACAGAGGGAATAGTATAGTGCAATTCATTTCTAGTCTAAGTGGATGACACCAAAGGGCGAGGACTTGGCTTGTTTTCATTATCCTTCACTTTCATTTCTCCTCCATTACCTTAAAATAAAATTTAAACTGTTTATATTTGATACAAATTAAATTTAGATGATCTAGATTTAAAGTTTTTATTTTTTATTTTGATTTGTATTTTATACTTATAATTTTTAAATCCTTCAAATTAAATCTGATTGTTTTGATTGGTAATAAAATATATTTATTAAAAATTTTAATTTTAATAAATATAAAATATAAATAAAAATAAAAAATTTAAATAGATTATTTAAATTTAATTTATATTAAATTTAAACGGTTTAGATTTTATTTTAAAATAGTAGAGAGGAAATGAAAAAAAAAGGTAACAGAGACAAGAAAACTCCAGATGGCAAAGGGTCCGCGAGTGATGGGCTTACTTATCGAAACACATTTATGAGGGTGTCAGGTGGAGCGGGGGCCATAAAGTTGATCCCTTGCGGTCCACGTATCATGACTTCGACCAAATCCCATGGAAGATACTATTTTCAAGGGTGCTCATCCAAGCATAACTGATGTTAAGTTGAAAGTTAGGATGAATAAGCCGCCTACAGGATAAACGTTTGTGCACTTTCAATGGTACCCACCACAACTTGAATTGTCAAGATTGCATATTGATGGTCCCCGTTTGCCAAACTAGAACTACGGCTTGTGGGTGTCTTGTTCGTGGCATACATGAAAATTGATGAAAGGCTTCAACAATTATCTCGGATACCATCCCAACACTGCAACAGAGTCATTAAGCATTTTTCGAGGTCTCGATTTTTTATAAAGAAAAATTCATAGAAAGTCAACAGGTATTGTGACCCAATGAAAACTCAATTTCATTAAAAACAGACATTCTCAATACTACCCTCTTGTTAACTTTATTAGAATGTGAGATTGAGTCTATGTTTAGATTATCTCTTAACTGAGATTAATTCAAACTGAGTTGGCAACCTCAGTTAAGAGATAAAAAGCCCCTTCCCCGTGTTCAGGAGGGGAAAAAATAATTATAATAAACAAGCAGCTGGAGAAAACGAGTGTTGCTATCGAAGCTGGGAAAAGGAGCTGATTAAACCCCGTTCCTAGAAAAAATGGGTTTTGGTGTCAGCTTCTCTCTCCTGCTTTATCTCTCCTGAAACACCACACTCTTTGAGATCAAGTGCCCATTTGATCAATGTTTTCCCAACATGGCAATATCATAGAAACTCTGTCTTCCCAGTGAAATTTTAATTTTATTTTAAAATTAAAATAACTTCTCCTTGAATGTTCAGTTTCAGTGCATCCGTTTTTAATTGCTAATCAGATGAAAAGAAAAATATATAAAAATAATTAAATAATTAATATTAGGGCTATATCAATTTATTTTAGATTTTTTAATTATATGTTTTTTAAAAAATACATTTGTAATTTAATTTTAATATTTGTAAATGTCAAATTAATCACAAAAAAAAATCATAAAATTTATGTCCTTTTTTGTTATTACACATCTAAATTGACTTTTGAATTAAATCATTCAAATAAATTTTAATTTATTCAACTACTTTTAAAAAAATTTGAACATAAATTATGTTAAAGTTATAGATTTTTTTTCTAATCTTAATTTATTAATTTTAATTGATTCTAAAGTTAGTTGTAAATTTTTCAACCTAAACATATGCTGAATGCTGACCTTTATTTCATTTATAGAAAGTTAATAATTGCACGTACTTGCCTGCTTGCTCACTTGCTTTTCGTGAAGGCTTTGGTATCAAAATCTTAAAATACGCGTTATTCGAGTGCAAAGAAATATTGCTTCAACCTTGTTCGTTCTCTGTTTTGCCTCTTTACTGTGAACTGTTGATTACTCCCTCCGTATCATGTCATGGAATACCTTTTGAAACCCTTATATGATTAAAATATATGGTATTAAATATTTTTTAAAATAAAAAAACTGGTTATTTAGTTTTATACGCTTGACGTGATGATTTTTATTAAATCAAAACATGTGTATTTTTAATAAAGATTTATTATTTAACAAATTTTTATTATTAATATTATTAAACATTATAATTCATTTATTTTAATTTATTGAATAAAAATTTATTAAATATATAAGGTTAAGTATTTAAGTCTTGTCCTTTTTAAATTTATTTTTTCAATTATACTCTCCTTCATTTATTAGTATTTTTAAAAATAATGTATTAAAATTTAATTATTATTATTATTATATTATTATAAAGACACCTATATAAACTATTTAATGAAAATAGAATAATTTTTTGTAAAAAAATAATATTTCATCTTTTTTTTTTGAAAATCGGGAAATATTAACCAATATCTTGTGCAAGGAGCCTAAGGTGAGCGTGTCGCTCGTCACCCTTAATAATGGTCGTGACTTTGAAGTTTGAACTTCGTGCTCCATCTTCTTTTCTCAGCGTGTTCCTTGCATAGGTGTGCATCTCATTTTTTTTTAATAAAATACTTATTTATTTTTAAATTAATACCATATTTTTTTATATTTATTTTTATTTAATATATTATTTTATTTTAAAATAAATATAAAATAACTTATTTATTATGAAACTTTTAAAAAACACATTAATTATATATTAAATATTAAAAATATTTTATATTTTTGAATATCTAACTTTTTAAAAAATATCTAAATTTTTTAACAGGGATAATAACAAATGAAACTACATTTATTTAGTTTTAACAAAATTATATTTCAATATATTATAATTTTATTGTAATATATATATATATATATATATATTATATTGTATAAAGGGTGGTGTTGGCAACAAAATAACCAACTGCATTGAATTTGGTTTCTATCATAAATTTATATTTACGAATCAAATTTGAATTGTCAATCATACGTTCACTTAACTTATCTCAATTTTTTAATGTTAATCAAAAAAAAAAGGTTTTATAACTAACTTCATCCACCTATGTTTTTTTCCATCAAATCCATCCATTTTAAAACAATATGAAGTTATTTTAAATATGATATCATTATAAAACATAAAAGTGAGGTGTTCGAATCCAAAATTATAATTGAAGGTAAGAAAATCGAAAAATTAAAAAAGTTGAGTTACTTCAAATCAACCAATTAACTGTAAAGATTGATCAGTTGTTCTGAATGAAACTGATAATTAAAAAAATAGATAACATATTTATATTTTTTTAAAAAATAAAACCGATAATATAAAAAGCAAATAGTTTTATACTTTTATCTGATAGCAGACGATCATATATCGGCTAAAAGAGAGAGCAGCAACGGGCGATATGGAGCATGGAGCATGGAAGGAGAGGTCGGTCGTCTGTGGTCTATCTATGTGCCTTGGGAATGCGTGGCTTCTTCGCCTTCGCCTTAATGGCATTCAATGCTCCGCCCACCTCCTCAACTGCCTCCCGAACCCCTTTTTTATAATAACTCAACCTTACTTTTATTCACCTCCTTGTCCTGCACCACCATTTATCTCTTCTTCTTCTCGTGAGACCTCAGCCATGGAGAAAAGTAGCGTCGTTGCAGCAGCAAGGCCTGTGAGGGCTGACGACGAAGATGAAAACTCCTCTGCCCTTCGTACTTCTGAGACCTTCCTTCGTCTCCTTCCATCGGCCTCTCCGTTGCAGCCCTTGTCCTCATGCTCAACGACTCCCAAGCCAACGACTATGGCTCTCTGGATTACACTGACCTTGGCGCCTTCAGGTTTCTTCCTCTCCTCTCTCTTTCATCTTCTTTCATACATACTCTTCATCACAGCATCATAATCATTCAAAATATCACAAGCATAAACACATCACCAATTTAGATACCTACAGAATACTACCACAGGAATTATGCAGATTCACAAATTGCAACTGTTTTAATATGGGATTTTAATTTTCTTGATCTTTGGGACAAAAGCTAAATTCAGGACTCCCAACATGGAAATACAAACAGGACTCATAATTAGGATTTTTTTTTTCTGACTTAAGATCTAGATGAGAAATATACTGTGATGATGAAACAAGCTTCTTAATTTGCATCCCGTAGGTATCTGGTGCATGCCAATGGTATCTGTGCAGGTTACTCACTCATTTCAGCAGCCATTGTTGCTATGCCTCGCCCTTCCACCATGTCTCGAGCTTGGACTTTCTTTTTGCTTGACCAGGTCATTTCATCTCTTCCTTTCCCTCCTTTTACTTTGATATTAACATCTCTTTCACTTTATACCTCCTGAATCACCACCACATGTGAAGGAACTACGGACACAAGTCAGCAAGAAGGGTTGTTTAAAAAGTGAGTTTATTTGTGTTGGCTGCAGTTGCTAACTTACATAATTCTGGTGCTGGCTCGGTGTCAACGGAAGCTCTGTACCTGGCGGAGAAGGGGAACGACTCCACACTCTGGAGCTCAGCTTGTGGGTATTTTGGCAGGTTTTGTCACAAGGCCACGGCATCGGTCGCCATCACCTTCCTAGGCTGTGGTTTGCTATGCGCTGCT